AGTTATGCACACACAAGACCCAATTCACTTTGCGCTGTTCGAAACAAATTAAGATCAGTTGGCCACTCAATCGTGGGCAGACCTGATCAAAATGAACAATCAAACTGCGTATAGGAACTGACAGTGTAATGTTAGCATTTCAACTCAATATGCATTGAAAATGACAGTTAGTATCGCTTAGACATTAATAGGCGCATATGCGTATCTAACCAACGTTTTTGGAGATAAAAAATAAATCTATCCGGGATTTTAGGCCATATGTTATTTGTTCGTTATATTTTTTTATTATTTGTCCTTGAAACATTCATTGCGCGGAATGTTACCGCTTATCTCCTCTTTGTCTATCACGCGCAAGTGATTTTTTCAGTAGCTCATTTTGTCAAACGCTTGTTCCCTGCCTATAAAAATCGATTCATTCAGTTATTATCAATCTATCATTCATCTATTCGACATGATATCTCTCTCTCCACACACACACACACACACACACATATATATATATATATATATATATATATATATATATATTAATGCATGTTCCATTAAATAATATAAACAGGTTTTGTCTATTTATTTTAAGTAAGTTCTTTTCATATTGTCTGATAAGCTTAATAACATTATCATTGAAAGACGAAAGGAAATCACCATATTGATACATGTTTTATTACTACCTAAGCTTTGAGCTTACACAAGCCGTTATCAAATATGACAATTACATTTCAATATATCAAACAATACACGGACAAAACAATAATGATAGTCTGTTTTTGTTGCATGAAAAATTTCATGCAACGACTAACTCGTGCATACGAGACGCGAAAGCTTAGATTGGATTTAAACATGTATCAATGCGGTGATTTCTTTTCGTCTTTCAATGATAATTTTATTAACATTAATACAATATGAAAGAAAGTACTGGTTTTAAAAATAACTTCTAAAGAACTGTGAATTATAAATCTGACTGTTCTTCATATATATATATATATATATATATATATATATATATATATATGAGATAGCGATATGTATTTCAATATATCAAGAGCAGTTTTGACAATTATATTCAATAAAGTTACTTTCAAAGAAAATTTTCGTCGATATACCTGTTAAAATGAGATGTGAAACTTATTTCCATCACACACAGTATATATATATATATATATATATATATATATATATATATATATATATATATATATATATATATCTATCATCATTTTCACTCTGCATTTCTTGGTCCAAAAAATTATTTGTCTGTCTGTCTATCTATCTATCTATCTATCTATCTATCTATCTATCTATCTCATATATATATATATATATATATATATATATATATATATATATAACTTGATATATATCTGCCTCACTCTTCTTCCTATCTATCTACCTATCTAGCTCGGTAGATATGTCTACTTTTTTCTCACTCTCTTTCTCTCTCTCTATGTCTAGCTAGCTAGATAGATAGATTAATGGTAAAAGAAAAACCTTTCTAGACGTACGTCTTTCGATCTTTGAGAAATTTTATCAAACTAAATGTGGGGAATATTTTTTAACATGTATTTATAGACATAAATGACGTATATATAATACATAAATAATTGAAAAAAAAAATTAAATACATAAAAATAAATAATAATTGCATAAAAACAAGATTTAAAAAATTCAACAAAACAAGATTTTTACATTTTCGTTTATCATGTAATAAATTACATCACTTCATCATTCGCGACATTTTACCTTTCCTTACACAGCAAGCTTTAAGTATATTATAAAGCTTTCTCATACCAGAAATTGTAGGCTTGAATATCGGCTCAGAATTGTAAATCGGAGAAACGAAATATATTTGAGCATTATATTTGAATTCAAGTTTTCTCCACCAACTATGGGTTAATTAGTAATACTTATATCGGTAAATCGTTATTATTACAAAAAGTAAAAACCTCCTCACAGTCAAAAGTATATTTCGGGCTTTAAATAATCTGAAAGAAATTGGTAAGCCATAAAACCCCCCAAAAATCAATTAATTTTGAGTATTAACAAGTTCAAAACATAACAAGATTTCCCATCCACATTATCAATAAAGAAAAGTTACGAAATAAGAAGAATTATAAAAAAAACAATTACGAAATAAAATCTCCACATTAAGCTCTATGAAGTCCCTGCGGGGCCAAAACACGTCGTATATAACGGTTTTCTTTTTGTTTTTTTGTTTTTTTTTTATTTATAGTATCATTCGAGATATATTGTATATATATCTGAATTTTACGGTCCCTCATACCTGCAACTCCATATATATATATATATATATATATATATATATATATATATATATATATATAGACAAGTATATATAGACAAGTATAGGATAGGTGTATACGGAATAAATTCCAATAAACAACAATTTCCATTCTTAAAAGAGTCCTCAATAAAGAGTAGAAGGTATATAATTATTTATTTAAAAAATTATAAGATAAATATATCAAAAATCACTATCATGAAACAAAATGGATATTTTTGTGGTGATTTTATAACATATTTATGTTATAATTTTTACATAAATATATATATGTGTGTGTGTACATATACATACATACATACACACACACACACACACACACACACACACACACATATATATATATATATATATATATATATATATATATATATATATATATATATATATAGCATGGAATAATTTACGCGTTCTAATGAACGCTCAGCACATTGTCAACCGTTTGCGTTTAAACGCATAATGAAAAAATTCCGGTAATGGATAGCTAGGGCACATTTCTCTCATACTTTAATATCAATACACGGAAGGTTATTCGTGAGTTTGAACGGAGTTTATTAAAAATTAGCAGACATAATGTCTGTAATCAATTCAGTCACACAATGCCTAAAACAGAATTTTCTGCCAACACACACACACACACACAGATATATATATATATATATGCAGCAATCCTTCGTTTATGCATGTTTCATTAAAAACGACAGGCAAGATACTCCGGTTAAGCTTTTTATTTTATTTTTCTCGTGTTCGATCAAGAGCTTTCTTTTCTGGACAAAGAGTCTCTAAAAACTGTACAAATGTTTTACAGTTGCGAGCGCTTTCGGCTATACTTTTAGCCATTATTACAGTGATAAATACCATAAACATTTATTACAGAAAACAAATGCACATTAACTACAAACAAGACGAATTTTCACTTAGAAATATTATATAGAAATACACTACCCCAACTGACTCGAATAAAAAAAATCAAATTAATCATCTATTATAAAAAAATTTAAGACAGCTGACATTATCCTGAAAAATAACAACACACCAGTTAAGACACAATTACAAAGAACGAACATTATCTATGAGTTCAAATGCCCCTTAAGGAACTGTGTTCTTGATGAAACCAGCTCATAAATAATTACATCGTTCACAAGACTACATGCCTATCCCGACGCCTTATGTTGCAGCTATCTGATCATTGCTCCATTAGAATCCATTTAAACTCACGTACTAGACTTCATTAGAAACATACTAGCAGAAAATACAAATATAATAACTTCATCCACCTGTAAAAAAGATAAGAATAATGGAAGCTTTAATAATAAGAAAGAAAAAGCCAACTCTTAACAATATTAACTACGGACAAGGTCACAATGTACTAACCGTATTCGTAAATTAAAAACATCTCTATAACACACTAAAACATACACATGATTCACACACTCAATTAAGCTGAAAAACTGAATCATCCTTGATAATGGTATAAAGGTATAGCAGAAAGCGCTTGGACAGAAAAGAAAGCCCTTGATTGAACACAAGAAAATTAAATAAATAGCTGTTGTGGTAGGATCCACCTAATTTGCATAGTGGAGTACCGACCATATAAATATGGTTGGTACCGAGAAGACGGGGGAAGGAATCAAGAGATTCAATCCAGAGACTCTGCCCGACTGCGACTAAGTCAACACATTCTCCAGGAACGGTATTCCCAAGAATATACAAAAGACTATATGTAAATATTGTGTACCTTTCTTGTTTCAATAAATTTTGTTCTAAGTACGTTTTGTGTTGTATTATTATTCCATGCATTAGTCAAGTTTCAACAATAGCTTAACCAGAGCACCTTGTCCGTCGCATTTAATGAAACAACACACACACACACACACACACACACACACACACACACACACACACACACACACATATATATATATCTTTGAGTTTATATATATATATATATATATATATATATATATATATATGAAACTCAAAGATTATCTCATGTCTCCCCCGGATGAAATTTCGAGGTTTATCAACACCAAAGGTTTTCAAGAAAAAATAAATTAAAAAGAACGCTTAAATATTTTTAAACTTTAAAGAGACAGGAAGCATAAAGAAAGGAAAGACAACAAAGTAAGAGGACAAATATAAAATAGAGGAAATATAAAAAAAAGGGAGAACAAATATATGCTCTGTAATAAATACGTTGAGCTCTCTTTGTGCATCAGTTTCAATATTTTATATCATTAGGATACACTTATATAATTTACCTTTAAATTTACATACACACACACACACACACACACACACACACACACACATATATATATATATATATATATATATATATATATACTACTCCTGAGATTCTGTTAATCAGTGTACAAGAAAGGTAACACATGGCACAGTGGATAAAGGCATTAGTTAGATCCAGTGACAGGACCCAAAGAGTGTGAGTTTTCAGAGGGAAATTAGCAGGAGATAACTGATAAAGGACATCCATGAAACATGGCACGTGGAACTAGAATAGTCTACTTCAGTGAGCGAAATAAAGGGTTCAGTTCGAAATTCCAACCACCTGAAGAAGGCCGGAGCGTACAACGGCCGAAATGTTGTGATAAATATGGCGACAAAATGAGGACAATAGTCCGAATAATGTAAATAATGTATATATATATATATATATATATATATATATATATATATATACAGAGAGAGAGAGAGACAGAGACAGAGAGAGAGAGAGAGGGAGAGAGAGTTAGATAGATAGACAGATAGATATTTCATACATTTCACTTCCACACTTGTTTCCCACTCCACACATACACTCTCACTAAAATTTTGTTTTTTTATACCCGAAGTTATATTTTCCGATTTGTTTTTGAATTTGTACGTCTGATAAAATGTATCGTGATTACGATTACACTGTAATAAATTATAACCATGAAATAATAGTGTTTGAGACGTTTTTTTTATTATATATATATATATATATATACAAAATTCTCTGCCATCTACTAGTTTGGCTCTCACACCCTCTAAAATAGCTATACATTGACCGGTCGAGACCAAATTTTGGGGAGAAGTGCAAGCGGATAAGGGGGGGGGTACAAAGTACAGTTGGTTTTAATAGGGTGCGTAGCTTCGTACAATAAATTCCCATTATTTTTTTTCGAATAATTAAGTATTATTATTTAAAATACAAAATAATCGCTCTATTTTATAAACAATTTACTGATTAGAATAACAAATATTTATTTAAAGAAATTGAAATTTTTTTGCATATATTTTCTTTAAGATTTTTTTATAATCCAGTTTCCAGATCGTTCTACATTTGCGAGAACTATAAACAAATCACAAGGCTAAACGCTTCAAAAATATGGAATTTGGCTCCAGAAAGAAATATTTAAGCATAGCCAGTTGTATGCTGCATACTCAAGAGTAAGAAACTATAAGAATTTTTTTTCGCTGTTTAAAAAGAAAGAATGAATTTTCTTAAAAATATTGTTTACCATGAAGTCCTATGAAATTAAATTAAAGAAATTATTACACCATGATGAAAATTTTTTTTATCAAAATATCTTTCATAATAAATCAGCTTATTCAAATTTCCTCGATTGGTTTGCGAAATTGGACACCACTTAGAGTATGTAAATCTTGACAAAAATGTTAACGATAACTTCAACATTACTAAATACTGTGTAGATTCCAAAGAATTCTAGTAAAGAAAAATTATTGAAAAATGGAATTTTCGTAGTGAAAATTAGCATTTTAAAAAAGATATCTCTTAAAGAATTTCCGCAAGATGTTTACATTGTGAACATTAATATTTTAATGTTCTTTTATGTACCGTGTCCCTTCAGGATGTGGTTGAGGATGGATGTCTACAATATCCTAAACTTTGTAGCTGTTAGGAAAATTTTTTATCTCTCTCTCTCTCTCTCTCTCTCTCTCTCTCTCTCTCTATCTATCTATCTATCTATCTCTCTCAATTCCTTTTCTGTCATTCATTTACCTAAGCAAGTTAGATATCGCGTTACATTGCAAGTTGTTTCGAAATCAAAGCATCAACTTGACAACACGAGTCATATTCTTAAACAGCTTCGTCAGATTGAAAGTGATATGGATTTCATGCATGGCACCAAACCATTTTAGAAAGAACTAAACTGCCAGCTGTATACAACCACTTCCTAAGAAAAATGGCGAAAAAATAATTTGAATGAGTGAAGACTGAATGTCTTGGCAAAGATCATACCCTTTTGAACATTCTGAACTTGCACTACAGAATCACGTAGAAGTTTATATGATAATAGAAGCCATGTCGCATTGGGACTAACAACAGAAGCAACAACTAAAATGAATAGAACATGTAATTCGAAGAGAAAATAATAACATAATCAATTTTTTAACATTCAACATTTCTTCAAAATAATATATCTGTCTACATCTTTGAGATGAGGTATTAGATTACTTGCATTATTTACATTATTCGGACTGTTATCCTCATATTCATTGCTATATTCACAGCGTTTCGGCCGCTGTACGCTCCGGATATCCTCAAGGACACATGACCCAGTCGATATAGACTTTGATTAGATTCAGTGACTAGAACCAAACAGTTGTGACCTCAGTACCAGAGTACAGCAATGGTGAACAAAACTTGGAAATGAGTTAAAAATGAAATAACTAGACATTCAGAAGAGGCATGGCACATGGAATTAGAACAATGTACCCCGGTGGACTAAATAAAAGGATTGGTCCGAAATTCCAATCACCTGAAGATGAAACTTTGTGAATATAGCAATTAAGTTGAGGATAAGAACCAGAATAATATAAATAATGCAAGTATTCAAATAAAATGTTGGGAAAGAAACCCTTATCAGTGTTTGCGATAACAGTTACTGAACTTGAGAAATCTATCAAACTTCACCAAAATATTAAGAGATCTTATAAATTTCAACTGAAAACAGCTGCTCGGTCAATGAATACCAAATATTTCCTTGTAAGGAAACGGCTAATATAAAAATTATCATGGCCAAGCCAATGTCGCTCCTGGTTTCAATATGTCTTGTGAGTATTAGATTATCCACGCCATCTAGGTGTGTCCTCTCAGCTGTCAAGTATTTCTATCAGTCGGTTGTTAAAAGCCAGACGTGTGACACACGAAATCAATGCTGACATCTCCGAAGGTTCTGCCCACGGCCCTATCCACTCACTGCTTTATATCAACGATCTATCCAAGAACACTGTTAAATCTTTAGTAAATATATATGTAGAAGATACAATATTGTATGGGAGCACCTTCAAATAACTTGAATACCAGTACCGGGCACATAATCTCTCTTCTCACAGCTCCATGGGGAAAAGGACTCGTTGATATCATTCAATACATCCAATGCTAAACTTCTAACATTTCATCACCACCGGGTTGATCATGAACCTGTAGAAATAGAGTAGGTTGATTTTTCACGTTATTTTAGAAAATCAATATTGCACAGAATTTGAAAGCTGGGGACTCATATACTAAGTAAAGTCACCAAAAATTAGATCCATAGCTTTTAGGAATTTTTGAGCATTTTATTTTAAATATCGTCTAAATCTTTACAGGAATCCATCATTTCCGCAAGTTTTTGCTTAAAAACTTAAAATTTTCTATTTCACAGATAAATCCAAATAGCATACACTTAGTGAAAATATATTCAAACCATAATTCTAATTATAGATCAGCACAATCAAAATATGCATTTTTCACTGTATTCGATGAGAAAAAAAAACTATGTCAAAATTTTAAAAGATTGCAAAATGGCTACTCATTGAACAAGATTCGATATATCATAATAAAAACAAAAAAAAGGTTAATTTTATATAACACCATAATGATGCAGGTACACATAAGATAAAATGCTTTAAATTTGGATTGCTTGTTGAAAATCACACTAACACTACTACATTGTAAAAATATTACATCATAATATAGCTTCACTGTTCAATATAATTTCCCTTTGAAGCAAATAAAGGTCTTATCTGATGTATCAATGATTGAGTAATAATATACTTGTGCAATCATCCTGTCCATATACAATTTGTAAAGCTTCAATAATTTTATAGGTTTTATGAAGCTGTGATCAACGGAACGAAATTACAACTCAACGATTTTGAACCTAAACGTAAACTTAAACTCGTCTCCTCAAAAAACTGTAACCATTTTGAAAAGAAATATTTTGCGATTTTATTCAGCATGTGAATTGCCAACGTTCAAATGGAATGTATTTCTATGGTTCAAAAATCGACCTGCCCTAATATGACATGCGCTTAACTGGTTACATTGATCTAATTTGAGTTGACTTATAAGAAATAACATAGTGACTTCGTTGTCTTTACAAATTTGATAATTTCTCATAAAATTTCAATGAAGTAAATAGTGAAAAATTCACTGCAATAGCACAATTCTAAAATTCTCATGCCTTACTGTACCAGTCATGATAATTGGTCATACGCGCAAAGGGTTGCCTTCCCTCGAACGTCTTCTAGGGCTAAAATTTCCGACCTCAAATGAAACGTGTATATGAAAGTATGTTGGTTCTTGTATCGTTCCAGAAAGTACTTAACTCCTGCTGCCATATTTTATCTTAAAAAGAGTCAGATTTGATTAGGATTGGAGTTTATGCTACCATATCTGGGTTAGTGTTGCCCAGTATTCACTGTCCAGCCTTGACAGAATTCAAAAGCACTCACACGACCTTTGGGGTGATTACTACTTCTCCAGCATTAAACCCTTATTCCACAGACAAAACGTTGTAAGCATTTCAATATCATGTCTTTATTACATCGGCAAATTTTACATTCCTTAATCCTGCCAATTCTAGGCCCCGTCATGACATATTCACTGTGGCAAATCATACCCATTTCAATTCCTACTTAGGCAGCTACTCCATAGATGTTACTTTGAGAAGGGCCTCCCGAGAGAACGCTTCCCTGACAACTAGAATATTGTTCCTTTAAATACAGGTTCGAACAATATTTGTCCTATTCATCCTCATAATACTCACTTACTTTTCACTTCTTTCCTTACAAGCTCACTCTACCTTCAGTGCCTCTTGGCACTTGTATTCGGTGACATATCATTAAAAAAATATAAGAGATTGTTTTTTTTTTATTTCAATTTTTCTTAAAATTTTATCGTTACTAACAACTTCTGTCAATGGTAGTATCATCATCCTTCTGTAGACCCGGATTTTTGTTGCTTCATGTCTCTTCTTCATATGTGAGGAGATTGTCTAAGATTCAGTATAACCGAGGAAGAACGATATTCCATATGGTGTATCGTGTCCAGTTGTTATACTTAAATCGAAATTATCTATATTTTCACCTAATGATGTGCTTGACAAAAAACAAATGTGCATCATTAACTACTTTCAATGCTCTGGGAAATAAAAAAAAATATTTCATGATATATACAGGCAGGTTTTCTCTTCTTGCTGAGGAAATAACTGATTCCTCGTATAAGTTATATTTGTTAATTAACCTAATTACTGGATATCATTAACAAACCCTCGATAAAAAATGGTCAGTAATTGCAGGTTACCATTAATTTGGAATTTGACATACAAAAAGTGAATGCGTTTTTAATTCAAGAATCTATGCATTTATCTTCGACACAAGAGGTTATTGTTCTAGAAATAATACTAGCGTTTTCTAAGTTGTGTTAATTGTATCCAAACCTTGTAATAAGGAACAGAACACAAGAACCTTCACGAAAGAAGGTTTTAATAAACAGAGTGGCACAC